AGTTAAAAGGGCTTTTTGGCCCTCAATTGGGTTGGAAATTCTATTTTTTTTTCACTTTTTCCTTATTTGTAGAGGGAAAGTCTAACTATATCATTCTGAATTATACTGTGCTTTACAAAGGATAGCAGACTACAGTGGAGAAACTGGACAGCTTCATTTCTCATCTGCCTTATTTGCAGTCAATGTACTTTCTTGATGTTCGAGGTTTGAGGGCAGTGAATTAGGAGGGAAGGAGCAGGCTTTTTAGAAACAGTCCGTCTCATTGGACAACAGCACCCCAGCCCCATCAGCTAGAGCATGCTTCTCGTTGGCTACTGTTCTACACAAAGATTCTGAGACCCACTGAAAAGGGGAGTCACGATAGCCGGACACAGACACTACAAATCTGGGGGTGAACTCAGGGTTGATGGAATACCACAAGAAATATTGGAACTCTCATTAAAACCCTGGTGGGAATCAAAGGCAAGATGGAAGCCATAGAAACAGCACATGGTTTTGCCTGTGCAGCTGGTTAGCATGTGTGCGGTATTTCCATCTTGTGTGCAGTATTTCCACCCTGTGTGCAGTATTTCCAGTATTTCCATCTTGTGTGCAGTATTTCCACCCTGTGTGCAGTATTTCCAGTATTTCCATCTTGTGTGCAGTATTTCCACCCTGTGTGCAGTATTTCCATTCCCATCTCAGCTGGACTTGAACTCACAACGCAGTCCAAGCTGGCCTTGAACTTGTAATCCTCCTGCCTTAGTCTTCTGTAGGATTATAGGTGTGTGCACCAGCATCTTCACCCATCTACCCCTGGAGTTCTTCCTCCTCCCCCCACTTCATAACAGCCCACGATGACTGGCTGACCAGATCTTGCTGCCAGTAATATTCAGGAAAGCTATGAATATTAAAGCAACAAGGAAAAAAAGAGACTGTATCTCAGATACAGAGAACATTTTATTCATAGCTGTATAAAACTACACTTCAGAATTCTCCTTTTCTAAAAACAAACTTTTAATTGCAATCCTCCAAATGAAAAGGCTACAGTTTTTTAACCTTGTACATACCATGGTCACAATAAACAGTATTTCAGTGGTGGGGAGTGCAGAGGATCGAGCCCAGGACTTCACACTCACCCACAGCCCCAGGCCCTGTTAAATAAGTTTTTAAAGCTGTGTTAAAAACAACAACAACCAAACAAACAAAAAGCTCTCTACAGCAGCATATGGCTCTGTGACTATAGTCTGTAGCCTCAGGATGGTACCAGAAGCCAAGTAAACTTCTATCCTGAGATAGAAAACTGGATACTGTTGATGTTTCGGGAGCCATTTCTCTCAATGGTAATTCCCCCTCTTAGGTCTAATTCATTGGAGAGGCTTTTCTGGAAATGCCTGCAATACCGTGGATCAGTGCTGGTGCATGTGGGCCTGAGGAGCTGTGCCCGCCCTCAATCATGCATCTCAGAACAGTATCAACATTACTGGCCTGCACAAGAACCAAAAGGTAACGTTGAATGATTTATGTAACTCTGAAACAAGTGAGGCTCAGCTGCACACATACCTCACTATTAGCAAAGGAGGATTAAATATTAAAGCGGTGAATGTGTTGTCATACGTGAACATTAAAAACTCTACATAGACTGTGTCCCTCAGCCCCCAAGCAGGGCTGAGTTTTCTGTGCTGAGGCTCATCTCAAAGTCTTACCTTGGGTTGGGCCACTCTCCCTCACTCTCCTTCCCCCACTACCCAAACCAGCGGCGCCACCATCTGCTCACCAGCAACGTGGCCACTGTCTGAGGCTGACAAGCTGGAGAGCTGGACGGCCACGCCAGGGGTGAGCATCAGTGTCCCCCCCTTGCACCTCGTGCTGTGCTTTTCTCCATCTTTGCATTGCAGAAGGCACCACGGCCCTATGAGACTTGGCCAAAACATGTAGGGTGTTTATTAGAGAAGTCCATTTATTAGAGAACGCCAACGGCCAGGAGAGTGGGTCCAAACAGGCCTTCTGCAGTTTGGAGGAGAGGGGAAGACATGCGGAGCACCTTTCTGTAACGGTCACACAGTATTAAGTTGGGATTTGTGTCTCCATGTGGCTACACTGCCCTGGAAATGGCTGACACGTTGTTGCGATCATCACCACCTGGGTGACAGAAAAGGGCCCTGGCTCCAGGGTACCCGTGAGGCAGCACATCTGGTGGCCTGTCCCTCAGGCTGGGGTCACAGGAGACACCAGCACTTATAAAGATTCCTATCCACTTCCACTGAGAAGGCAAGGCCAGTGAATGTCAGATAGGACTGTTTTTTACTTTTAAGGTTTTTTTATACAAGTATGTGTCTGTGTGTGGATTTGTGTACCTGAGTACAGGTGACTGCAGAGGCCCATGGGGTGATGTGGAAGGGTCTTCTATCTATTGTTATTTTCATTGGTTAATAAAGAGACTGCCTTGGCCCTCTGATAGGACAGAAAATTAGGTAGGTGGAGTAAACAGAACAGAATGCTGGGAAGAGGGCAATGAGGCAGATGCCATGGAGCCAGCCACCAGGTCAGATATGCTGAATCTTTTCCAGTAAGCCACCACTTCGTGGTGCTACACAGATTATTAGAAATGGGTTAATCAAGATGTAAGAGTTAGTCAGTAACTAACTCTCTAGAGATAATGGGCCAGGCAGTGGTTAAATGAATACAATTTGTGTGTTGTTATTTCTGGGGCTAAGCTAGCTGTGTGGGAGCTGGGCAGGACGAAAAGCAGGCCTGCCCACAGCTCCTCACTACAATGGGGGGTTACGGGGACTGTGGACCACTGGTGTGGGTGCTGGGAACTAAGCTCAGGTCATCCGGAAGAGCAGTGCATGCTCTTAACTTTGGAGCCATCTCTCCAACCAGCATCTCCTTTAAAAAGACTGATTTCTAGTATTTTAACTTTAAAAAGTACCAAATTTCACAAAATACGTTAGGTTTTCTCACCGGGGAGAAGAAATCACAAAATGAAATGGACAGACTAAATACTCCTTTTTTTTTTTTTGATTTTTAAGGCAGGGTCTCTACATAGTCCTGGCTATCCTGGAACCTGCTCTGTAGGCCATGGTGGTTTGAGCTCACAGAGTTCTGCCCACCTCTGCCCCCTGAATGCTGGGCATGCGCCACCACGCCCAGTCAAAACTAACACTCTTGTATAAAAGTTTTATGTGCAGACACTACCACTGCCTTTAGTCTAAGATACATCTGTCTAACTCTCGGCAGACAACAAGCCTCTTCAACTCGCTCAGAATAACTCAGGTTCTTAAAAGCAATAGTCCTTGGGTAGGCTGCTTACACCAGCACAGAAAATGTGACCCGATGAAGAAATACTCTATACTGTAATCTGAACAGTTTGCCCAGTTTCTATAAAGTTCACATGAACCGGGAATCAGAATGTTTTCCCATTAAAACGGTATGTTTCATTAGAACTAGAAAACCTGCAAGAAGTGCATAGAATTCAAATCTAGGTTTTCTCTCCCCATTTAGGAGTTTCTGTCTAACAGTTTAAGAAGCGTTGACTAAAGCATTTAAACATACATTACTCCCACTAGTGTGGTTCTGAGTACAGATTTCCCATTTTCAGTCATTATTTGGTTAATTAAAAAAAAAGCTATCCAGGATTTACAGTAAACCAACTACAAAGTCTTCTTTCTATACATATATGAATCCAACCACCCATGAGAAGTTCCAAGATGCAGACAGCTTTGGCGAGACCACGAAGACAGGCGTCCTAGACCTTATGTGGATGACAATGGGCGAATATAATGTCCTTCAGATTGCCTCCCTACAAATATTTACTTGTGTTTAAAAAAAAAATCATAAGACTATTTGCTTAACATGAGATAACCCAAACAGCCTTCTTTACCTTAAAACCAATAAAAGCAACAACTTATCAGGCAGGAAATAAAAACTGCCAGGCACCAAACACGCCAAGGCAGGAAGAACAAAACTCCATGCTATGTATTTTCAAGCAGGTGTGCATTTACAAGGTGAAGTTTGGAGGACAAAGCAAGAAACTTAAAATTCATGGATTTGCAAAGACCTGACACATTGGTGCAGGTTAAATATATTTGAGGAAAAAGGTCCAGGCTGTGTTAGGGATTCAGTGTACAGTCCCAGTCAGAACTAAGAACATGTAAAACACCATAAAACACTGGGGACTGGAGTGTTGTGGGTATGGACTCAAAATACTTTTATGAAGAAAAGCCAAGAACACCCAAAATATTCCATTCTATATAAGAAACATTGGTGATCTGTCCCCATAGTACTTTAAAAGGACACATAGAACAGGACAAATTGTATGTTTTTAAAGATCATCCCTAACAAATAATGGTGGACTGGCAGACATCACATAGGCAGTCCCTCTGAGGTAACAATTAAGTGAGCCGGAAAACACTTTAAAGTTCACATTGTCTTCTAAAATGACACCTCAATATCGAGTTCATTTTATACTGCTATAAATCACAGGGCGCTTAGTTCACAAGTCCTCAGTTCTTACACAGCTCCTTACACAACCAGGAATCCCAGCGCTCATCAGATGGGACTGTGGATAAATGTACACCAGATGGAGAAACTTAGAGAGGCCTTCTGAAGCAATGACTCTTTGCTAATTGTGAACTTGTTCAACGAACGGGGCCTGGTGGCACACACCTTTAATCCCAGTGCTTGGGAGGCAGAGGCAGGTGAATCTCTGTGAGTTTGAGGCCAGTATGTTGGTATACACAGTGAGTTCCAGGCCAGCCAAGACTACACAGTGTGACCCTGTCTCAAAAAACAAACAAGCAAGTGAACACACACATACAGATAATACTAGAATCCCTTTCTTTCTCTCCAATGGAACACACGACCCTTGGACCTGCACACCACACTCTGAGAAGTTCCATTTCTCCTCATTGGAACCCTCAGTTTTTCCAGTAGCAATGTCCTGTTAGGCTATTGTGAAGACAAAGCTATTTTTTCCAGTTAACCACATTTTACCCCGAATTTTTCAAAAGTCAAAATTTATAAAATCATGGACCCTTTATTACAAAAGGAAGTGTTTGTGCACATAATTACTGCAGAGAAAGGATATTCCGAGGGGGTCAGATCAGTCAGCATGAGTGCACCTCACTGAAGTACACTTACTATAAAAACATGTTGCCTTTGCCATGTGAAAACCGGGTATTTAGTTCTCTGGATTTCTTTATCAGGGCTTTTTTCTGAGCCTCATCAAACCGATTGACCTTGAGATCTTTATCACGGTCAAATGGTATCCTCTCTTGGTGCTTGCTTTTATCCTCGGCAGCCTTATTCTTTAACTTCTTATGATGGATGTCCATGAGGGATTCTGATCTCTTTGATTCCTAGGGAAGCAGGAGAACAGAAGAAAGAACCTTAGCCGTGTAGGTTATAGACAGTCTACAGTCAGGAAGCAGGCTGGGCCAGTGCGGGTGAATGAGAGACGGGGGTTCTGGATCAAGACAGCATCTACGCGAGGACACACAGCTGTGGTAAACACAACTCAGAAGGAACAGAGACGTCTACTAGCTACACGCAGAGAAAGAGCAAGAAAGGAAGGACACACAGTCATGGGCACTTAAGCCCAAGCAGGAATATAACCAAGAACAGGGGTGTGAAAGAACGGGCAAGTTTCTTTCCACCCCACAGATGAACTGGTCCCTAAAGCCGCTCAGGCAGACAGAGGTGCAGGCGCTGACAGAGCCCAAACAGAAGTGAACTATGAAATAAGGCGCACAGAAGCGGCCCAACTTAGGCCTGTGCAGATGGTGTTTGTCTCGCCCCCTGTTCTATTTGTCTCTTTTCCTTGTTCCTCTTCTCCTCTTAGCTTAGGCTGATGTTCATTGTCAAGTCTGTCTCCATACCATTTTCAGACAAGTTCTGTGCAAAAGCAATTGGTTTACTAAACAAGGGATTTGCTGTGGACCTCTGAGTAAAACTAGCCTGGGATGGAAGGACAAGGGAGGGATGGAGGGGACAATCATAGGGCAGATCAGCAGCCTCAAAGCTGGGGGTGGACACACAAGGACTCCATAGAACAGCGTCAAAGACAAGTAAGGCGGGAGCCATTTTAAGGTAATTCACACGTCTGTCATTTAGTCTTCTTTCAAAGATAAAAAAAATACAAGTGTATGTGTGTGATCCTGTACAAGTTTCTGTGTGCTACATGTATGCAAGAATCCACAGGGACCAGAAGAGGGCATTGGAGTTCCTGGAACCGGAGCTCCAGGTGGTTGTGAGACACCATGGGTGCTGGAAGCTGGACTCCGGTTCTCTATGAGAGCGGCGAGCACTCTCAGCTGCTGAGCCAGCTCTCCAGCCCTCATTTAGTCTTTCTTAAAACTCATTTATCCTATAAAGCATTCTTAAAGGTGATTCTCCTTTATGGCTATGAAGAGACAGGCTCTCAGGTAGCCCAGGCTGGCCTCCAACTTGCTTGCTGTGTAGTTGAGTCTGACCTTGAACTCGTGACTCTCCTGTCCCACTGCCTGCACGCTGACATTGCAGGAGTTCCCCTTACACCTGGCTCTTTTTTTTCCCCTTAAATTATCAAATACAATTCTTTCAATTTTTTAAAGCTAGTATACAAAATAGTAGGTTTTGTTGCACTTATTTCCTGTAAGAGTGTACTGCCTTCGTTGGCATGCTCGAAATTCACAGTGAAATGTGCGGAATATTCAGCATATGAAAAGAGGGTAATGGCAGGAAGGATATATTTTGCTTACAATCCTAACTCTTAAAGGCTCAGCCTATGTCCCTATGTCAAGGAATGCACATGAAACCAGAGGTGTGCACGGAGCTCAGAGAACACAGAGCAAGGCAGTAAGAGATGCCGAGGGTGGCTGGATGTGGTGTGAGCCTGCAATCCTAGCAGAGCTGGGAGGATCCAGAGTTTGAGGTCAGCCTGGACTACACAGTGAGTTCTAGATCAGCCTGAGACCCATGCAGAAGTAAACCTGTCCTGAAAAACAAACAAACAAACAAAAAAACCTAATCAAACCAAACCACAACTGTTTGGGGGTAGAGGTTATAGCATATATATACATTTCCTAGCACCAAACCAAAATATGCTTGCATTTTTTAATAATTTATGAAATTGGGAGCAATTGACCTTGAATACGAAGGCTTTCACATTATCTGTTTTTTGTGTGTGGCGATCAGAGGATAGTTAGTGGGATCTGGTTGTCTCTGCACCATGTGAACCCCAGGAACCAGACTCGGGCCATCAGGACCGGTGACGGGCACCATTACCCACTGTACCATCTCACAGCCTTTGAAAGCTCATGCTTGGTTTCTGGTTGGCTGGTTTTTCTTTCCATGGCATTATTTTAAACAGTGTTCAATTTATCAAAAGGAGAGGGTTACACAGTAGTTTCATCTTAAGACTATATCACTAGTTTGAACAGTAACTCTCATAGGAAACAGAATTACATACAAGATTAGAAATTTCACTTCTTGGATAATACATCCAAGTAAAAGGAAACTGCAGACACCACTGCAGGCTCCCTAAACATGGCAGCACACTTCTATTAGCCAGACTTCCTAAACATGG